TTAGACAGAGGGACCAGGTGTGCTCACCTGGAAGAATACATAAGCTGAGAACACCCGCCTTGGCTTCACCCTCCTCCAGGCGGAAAGACTCCCACACTGACTGTCCTTGGTGGTTGGCGGGCATTGCTTTCAGCCCGAGAGCAGGAGGAGGAGTTAACGGTGTTAAGTGAGGGGAAGGGGGTGGGGCAGGGGAGCGGAGCTGCATGCCCGGCTCAGGGCTGGTCAGGGCGGCCAGCATCCTCCAGCCATTCCCACTCCTGCCCCTGCAGACCAGCAAGCTCATCCGCTCCCCTCCAGGCCCTGGACTAGACCATATACTCGCTCTGGGGGATGGGGAGACAGGGACCTCCTCCTCTACCCGCCCCCCCTCGCCCCCCAGGCCTGGGTCTGGCCACTGCATGGCCCCCGCTGGAGACTGATGGGAGCTGATGTGGTTTGTTAGTCATCCCTGCGTCATCAAAGCACCATCCCAGGGCTGGCTCTCCAGTCACCTGCCCATCGCCCTGCTCCTCCCCCAAAGGGTGCAGGCTGCCCGGCCAGGCCCTCTCTGACCCTCCCGGCTGAAGGAGCCCCCGGGGCCAGGGGGAGGGGTCTCTCTAAGGCAGGAGCCCGGCCCACTCCCCAGAGCCTCCGTTCCAGAGGCCAGGAGAGCAGGTTTGGGAAGAGGGGGCTGCGCTGTGTGGCCGACCTGATGCCTCCTCCACACCCACCCCGGCTGCTAAGCCGCACTCCACGGAGGGCGGGGGGGCTGGGGTGTGGGTAGAGAGGGTGGAGCCCGCTGCAGGGCCCTGTCCACTGTCAGGACTCACAACAGGTCTGGGGTCAAACTGGAGACCTGGTATCCGTGGCCCCTTCCCTCCCCTCCCCTCTCCTCATTCAGGCGGGGACACTGCGTGCCGGCGAGGCCCTCCGTGAGCAAAGGGGCAGAGACAATTCTCCAGGACGGACTTGGGGAGCTGGTTCACGGGGCAGCCAGCGAGGCGCCTCCGCTCCCACACGGCACCTCTGCGTCTGCGGGTCCGCCTGGCGTCCTTCCCTGAAGATGCCCGGACCG